GTGCGTATGAAAGCGCTGGCAAGAAGTTACACCTGGTGGCCAGGTATGGACAAACAAATCGAAACCTGGGTCGCCTCTTGTAACAAATGCCAGGAAAACCACTCAGCTCCACCTAAAGCCCCACCAGCAGAATGGGAAACACCCAGGGGTCCTTGGTCTCGCATTCAAGAGGCCACACCTTCTTAATAACTGTAGATGCCTACTCAAACTTGCTTGAGGTCAATAAGATGAAAGCAACCACTACTGAGGCGGTCATTAAAAAACTGAACAGACTCTTCTCCACACATGGGTTACCAGATGTCCTGGTCTCTGACAATGGGGCCCAATTTACTGTCTTAGCCTTTGAACAGTATTTAGCGGAATGGGGCATCCGACATGCACTCACATCGCCGGCTCATCCTGCGGCGAATGGCCGGGCTGAACAAATGGTTCAGTTTACAAAGAAAACCCTGCAGGAAATGGATCAAGGCAACATCCACGACAAAGTCACTAGAATGCTGCTCCTACAACACATCACACCAAACAGCATGACCAACAAGAGCCCAGCTGAACTCCTGATGGCTAGGAAACTCAGATCGCCTCTAGATCGTTTGCACCCTGCCTACACCCCGGAAAAGCCCCTGGGTTCCAGCAGCAAGCACCGTGTTTTCAAGGTAGGAGACCTTGTTTTTGCAAAAAAAATTTCTGGGGATCCCCTTTGGATTCCTGCCCAAGTAACTCAAGTTACGGGTCCCCGCTCCTACCGTCTACTCACCACTGATGGCAGGCCATGGAAACGCCATATTGACCAACTGCGCTCCAGACTAACCACATCTTCCAACCCTGACCCTAATTTTGACACTAGGGGGGGAGGGGAAGCAGCGAACTCAGAATTAGAACCAACACCTGTTTATTCCGAGCTAACACCGAGATCAACCGCACCATGGTTGGCAACACTCACCAGCTGCAGCTGAGACTGGACAGTCAAACGCTTCGCCAAGAAGCAGCAACCAGGCAGGTTCAGCGAGCCCCGGGAGCCATGGCAGTAACAGCGAGGCTGAGGACTCTATCACCCCGGGGGCACCAGAGGAGAGACCTGACCATGGCACCGGTTCACCGTTCCTGTTTGATCCAGCAAGCAGTCCATCTGAACCCGGGTTTGAACAGGGACAAGTGGAATTGCGTAAGTCAGGCAGACAGGTGCGAAGACCTGCCTACCTGCGAGACTATATTACTCCACCCCTTAAACGGAACCGAGAGGGGAGGGGTGTTCCGGACTATCAGGCTCGTAGCCTGCAAATCTGATTGGCCCGCTGAAAGCCGATCGTGATTGGTCGCCATAGACTGATGCGATTGGCCAGTAAACGGGCTGCCGCGATTGGCCCTGCCAAGAGCGGCAAACTCAAATCGCCTTCATTGGCTGCCTAGCCGCAGCCAGCCCTAAATAAGGGGCTGCTGCAGCTGGGGTTAGTTGCTCAGATCTGAAGTCACAAATAAAGAGCTTCCTCCCAGATTTAACATATTCCTACTAATTTGAATTCTACCTTCCATTTTGACATCTGCCTTGGGATAACTCCACAGGAAAAGCTCGCACACGAAAACCATGTGGATTTTCAATGTTTTCCACCCCCAAGAACATGAAAATGAGCTTAATTTTGAAATCTGAGCTCTGCTTCAAAAGTTATGTATTCCTACTAAATTGAATTCTACCTTCCATTTTGAAATCTGCCTTGGGTAACTTGAGAGAAAGAGAGAAAGAGAGAAGGGAGAAAGAGAGAAAGAGAGAAGGGAGAAAGAGAGAGAGAGAGAAGGGAGAAAGAGAGAGAGAGAGAGAGAAGTGAGAAAGAGAGAGAGAGAAAAGGGAGAAAGAGAGAGAGAGAAGGGAGAAAGAGAGAAAGAGAGAAGGGAGAAAGAGAGAGAGAGAGAAGGGAGAAAGAGGGAAAGAGAGAAGGGAGAAAGAGAGAAAGAGAGAAGGGAGAAAGAGAGAGAGAGAGAGAGAAAGAGAGAAGGGAGAAAGAAAGAAAGAGAGAGAGAAAGAGAGAGACAAGGGAGAAAGAGCCCCCTGTTTAAGAGGGTAGCCCACCCTTTCTTTCCTCCCTCCACCTTTCCTGGTGGAGATACAGAAGCTGCAGAAGGAAACCGTAAAAAATAATGGCAAATAAGGGCATGTGTGCAAAACAATTCCTTTTCTTTCCACAAAAGCACATCGTTGTTGCCTCAGGGATCTGGGGAAGATTATTTTGCATGCATTTCTAGACACACACCCCCAACCCCCGTATTGGTTCTCCTCCTTGCCAAAATCCAGAAAGCCCTTGACAAAAATTCCTGCCGCAATATTTCCCCCCTCCTCCGCTACGTCCAGAGATTTTTCCCTGCCTCACCTTCCTTCCCCCGGGGTGGAAAGTGCAGTCTGTAGGGTGTGTGAAGGCAACTTTGCAGATGCAGAATCAGCTCTGCAAGGCGAGAATAGAATGCTTAGGGCTGGAAGGGACCTCAGAGGCCATCTAGTCCAAACCCATGCTCAGGCAGGAGACCCTATATACCATTCCTGACAAGTGGCCATCCAATCTCTTGAAAGCCTCCAGTGTTGGAGTACCTACAACTTCTGAAGGCAAAGCTGTTCCTCTGGTTGTTGATCTATCAGGAAATTTCTCCTTGGTTCTAGCTTGCTTCTCTCCTTGAAGAGTTTCCAATCCTTTGCTTCCTGTCTTGCTTTCAAATGCTTTGGAGAATAGGTTGACCCTCTCTTCTCTGGGACAGCCACTTAAATAGTGGAAGATTGTTATCATGTCACCTCTAGTTCTTTTCATTAAACTGGAATAGAAGAGAGAATAAAAAAGAATAGATTAGAATAGAATAGAATATAGAGTAGAATGGAGTGGAATGGAACAGACTAGAACAGAACAGAACAGAATAGAATATAGAGTGGAGTGGAATGGAATGGAATGGAATAGCATAGCATAGCATAGCATAGCATAGCATAGCATAGCATAGCATAGCATAGAATATAGAGTGGAATGGAATGGAATGGAATGGAATAGAATAGAATAGAACATAGAGTGGAATGGAATGGAATGGAATGGAATAGAATAGAAATAGAAGAGAGAATTAAATAGAACAGAACAGAATGAGAGAACGGAATAAAATATAATATAGAATAGAATAGAATAAATATTGGAAGGAATAGAATAATAATGGAATGAATAGAATAGAATAAGAATGGAATGAATAGAATAGAATAAGAATGGAATGGAATAGAATAGCAGAGTTGGAAGGGTCCTTGGAGGTCTTCTAGTCCAACCCCCTGCTCAAGCAGGAAACCCTATACCATCTCAGACAAATGGCTATCCAGTCTCTTCTTAAAAACCTCCAGTGCTGGAGCATTTACAACTTCTGGAGGGAAGTTGTTCCACTGATTAATTATTCCAACTGTCAGGAAATTTCTTCTTAGTTCCAGGTTGTTTCTCTCGTCCAGTTTCCATTCTCTGCTGCTTCTCCTGCTTTCAGGTGCTTTGGAAAATAGGTTGACCTCTCCCCTCACTTTTTTGTGGCAGTCCCTCAAATACTGGAACACTGCTTTCATGTCACCCCTGCTCCTTCTTTTCATTAAACTATAAATACCCAATTCCTGCAACCATTCTTGGTATGTTTTAGCCTCCAATCCCCTAAATCATCTTTGTAGCTCTTCTCTGCATTCTTTCCAGAGTCTCAATGTCTTTTTTGTATTGTGGTAACTAAAACTGGATGCAGTATTCCAACTGTGGTCTTAGCTAGACAGCATAAAATGGTTCTAAAACTTCACTTGATCTTGATTCTACCCCTCTGTTCATACGGCCTAAGATTGCACTCTTTGTTGACTGTTCACTGTTGCACACTGTTCATATTTAAGTGATTGTCTACTTGGACTCCAAGATCCAAAAACCTTCCAGTTTACAGTGAATTTTGGCAATCTGCAACACTAAAACAGAATACGCAAGAGTCATCAAAGACGCCCATAATTTGTAATATTTTGTTTGGTTGTTGTTGTTTTTTAATCCCACATTCCTGATAACTGAACCAAAGTTTAACCATCTTGTGTAAAAATCAGACTAAAGGACCTTTGGGTATCCTCCAATATTTATATTTTCTTAGCACTGAAGATATTCCTTGGGAAAGGCATGTCAATGAAGAATGGCAGTGCAAAATCTAGGCCAGAGTTTTTCAGCCATGTGTGGACTTCAATTCCCAGAATTCCCCAGCCAGGAAAGCTGGGCATTGAACTCTACACATCTTCTAGAGGCCACACAGTTGAGAAACACTGATCTAGACCATTCCAGCTCTTTCTGGAATATAGTTTTAGTTGCATACATTTTGCAACATCTCATTGCAAAATTTGCCGGTTGTAAGTACAGGGCAATTTCCAAATTTAATACCCTGTTTCCCCCAAAATATGACCTACTCTGAAAGTAAGTCCTAGCTTGATTTACATGTGTGCCCAATATAAGCCCTAATTAAGATCCCACCCACTCCAGAATGGACAGGTAAAAATTAAGCTAGGGTGGAGATGAGGGGAGGTGGAGCTGCCCTCCTACTTACCTTTGGATGTTTGTAGCCAGGTCTCGCACACCCTGACATCTGCCTTGCCGGCCCATTTCTTCTGCAGCTGGCAATCCAGAGCTCCATTATCCCCTGCAAAGGCTTTCAGGATAGCCTTGCCAGTTGCAGAAGAAGTTCCTGAAGGCCTCAGACAGTGAAAATGAGGCCAGGGGCGATGCGCGCAAGTGAGGTTAGTCAGTGGAAGACATCCCCTGAAAATAAGACCTGGTGCCTTTTTTGGTGGTAAAAAAAATTATAAGGCAAGGTCTTATTTTGGGGGAAACACAGTAATTATGGGATAAGAAATATTTGATGACTCCAGTGTTGGTTCGTGGTTGCTGCTGGCATCCCATCAATCAAAGAGCAAATCTTTGTTGATTCCCTTGCAAGAATGGCTTACACCCCAAAATCTCATGGCAGAAAAACCTTTGTCCTCCCCGCCCCCGTCTTTTCCTTCCCCAATCCGGGTCTCCATCTGAAGAGTGAGGTGAATGTTCAGACATTGTGCAAACGGTAAACGGTTTTGCATTCATAATTCCAGCAACTGGCAAAAAGGACAGGTGGTCTTGCGGGCTTTGCAAAGTTGCGCCCTTCCTGTGTGGTTTTGCGCAACGGACGGATACCCGAAATCGGAGCCAGTGCCCGGGGAATTGGGAACTGGTTTCTCACCTGCAGGAAGAGAGGACAGAAAAAAATGGATTTTTAGCACCATGTGAATAGTTGGGCCGTGAAATGAAACCTGGAATGAAAAAATGTATTGCAATTCCCTTGGATGTCAGGACTCCAACATGCACCCCCATTCAAATCACAAGTCTCTAACCGCATTTCTCAGAGTAAAAAAGATTCATTTATTAGGAGCTAACATGTCGGCATTTCCTGGTTGCAGCTGACTCTGACACATCATTCATTTCACCTTTGACCCTGGTCTTCCTCCCACCCCCTGGATGTATATTCTCCAATGAGACACATCCATTAGCAAGAGTCCTCAATGGTGCTCTCCAGTAATAATCTTGCGTGCCAGAAGCTTTGGCTGCCTAGCAATTATCTGAAGCATTTGAGGAATGCACTGCTTTCCCCCACTCCCTTTCTGCTGGCAACTAAAAAGACCAAAGGAGTGACATTGGATTCCCAAACACATTTAGAGGCAATCTGGATTTGTCTGGGAAAGTCCGCTTTTCTGTTTACAGATGAACAGAGTTGGAACTTGGAAGGGATCTTGTAGGTCATCTAGTCCAACCCAAGCAGGAGACCCTACACCATTCTGACAAACTTCAAATGTTGTTGAACTGATCCTGTTGTTGAGTTGGTCAGTTTCTTCAGGACTAATCCAGATTGTAAACTCTGAGGATGGTTATGCTGCACAGGTATTCCTCAATTTACAACCAGTCGCTTAGCAATGGTTGAAAGTCACAGCAAACCCCCAAAATGGGAGTGATGATGACCTGGTTTTGATGTTCTTTTTCCCCCTCCAATTTTTTTTATTTGTTTTATTTATATAAGATATAAAATTTCAATTAAACAGTGTGTTGTCTGGGTATAATTATTTTTAGGAAATAATCAAAATGTTTACAATAATATTCATCACTGATATTAAATAATAATAATAATAATAATAATAATAATAATAATAATAATAATAATAATAATAATAATAATAATAATACACTTTACAGACAGGGACTGGCCTTCTTTCTGTCTCTCTCATTTTCTTTAATAACTGAGCATTTAATGTAGAAATGACTTTCTTAATTCACTTCAAATGCTATTGGCTACTATAAGGCATGAGAATTTCTCACACTGCCTGGATGTCCTTGAGCTTTGTATCCCAGTCAGTTCTTAAATGGTTCTCTGACTGACCTTGCAAAGTTGCCCCTGGGACTGCCTGCCACTTGAGAAAAAAGAGAAGTGTGGGAGAGCCTTAAAAAAACTGCTGGCGGTGATTGACATCTCATTCATCCCAAGAGGGAGATTTAGGGATCAAATGAAATTCTGAATTATGGTTATCATAAACGCGCCTTTTAAAAATAGATATATAAGTAATGTATTCACCAGAGTTTTCTGGACTTCAATCTGTCCTCAGGATCCGCAATAGCATGGCGTGGACCTCTTCATCCATGTACCCCTGCATTGGAGAAAAATATCCCCCCAATAATGTAGATTCTAGCATCAATGGCCTACAAAGGGATTTCCCTTCAAAGCAAACACCTATTGTTACATTTCTTTGCCAGAAACAAATCAGTAGTGGTCGTCCTTGACCATAATTGGGAGCCGTGGTGGCATAGTGGTTTGTGATGACTCAGGGTGGGATACAAAATAAACACAGTCACAAAAACAGGTGAAGCCCCTTTTATTCCTTCACTTTGCTTCAGAGCTCCAAATATCCTTGACTGGAGACAAAAAACTCCCCCAACAAGCAGTTATGAAAAGGAAGAAATGCCGTTTAAACTAAAAATGCCTATAAATTATTAAGAGTAAAAACAACACAAACCACACTGAAGCAATTAAGGGAACCAGGCAAGATAAGGGCTTGAAGACGTCCACAGATATTGGAACACACACTGGGAAGGACGCCAAACACAGAGAGGAACGACAGACTAGAGATATTTCCATGCTTTGTTTCCAGCACTGGCCCATACGCATGTCCATCCTTTTAACCAGTTCTCACAGCTGCACTCCATGAAGAGGATCAAGGCCCTTTCCTCCCCCGTAGACCACGCCATTCACCTCTCTCCCTTATCCTCTCCTCCCTGCGTGCTGTAGGATGGAGAGGGGATGGGGCTGGGTATTCCTCTGACTGCCCAGCTTCCTCCACAACTTCCGGAGCTACACTTCCACTCCCTGTCAGCTGTTCTGCCTCTCCCTCGCAGTCAGACTCCAACAGAGGCATGACATGGTTAGAGTGCAGTATTGCAGGCTGGCTCTGCCCACAGTCAAGAGTTCGATCATAACCAGCTCAAGGTTGACTCAGCGTTCCATACTTCCGAGGTTGTTGGGGGCAAGAGGCTGACTCTGTAAACCACTTAGAGAGGGCTGTGAAGCGGGATGTAAGTCTAAGTGCTCTTGCTATTCTATTCTTTAATTCCATTCTATTCTCTATTCATTCTATTTTATTCTATAGAGAAAGGGGGAAGAGAGAGAGAAAGTGGGAGAGAGGGAGAGAAGAGAAAGAAAGAAAGAAAGAAAGAAAGAAAGAAAGAAAGAAAGAAAGAAAGAGGAGGAAAAGAGAGAGAGAGAAGGAGGGGGAGAGAGAAAAGAAGAGAGGGAGAGAGGGGGGAGAAAGAAAGAAAGAGAAAAGACAGAGAGGTGGATGGGGGAGAAAGAAAAAGAAAGGGGACAGAGAGAACAAGAGGGGAGAGAGGGAGAGAGAGAAGGAGAGAGGGAAAGAGAAAAGAGAATGGAAGAGAGAGAAAGGGAGAGAGAAAAGAGAGAGAAAGTGGGAGAGAGGGAGAGAAGAGAAAGAGAGGAGACAGGAGGAAAAGAGAGAGAGAAAGGGAAAAGAAAAGAGAGAGAGAGAAAGGAGGGAGACAGGGGAGAGAGAGAGAGAGAGAGAGAGAGAGAGAGAGAGAGAGAGAAAGCTGCTAGAAACTCCCCTTTGCCTTACCTGGGCTGCATTGAGCAGGTGAGTCCTATATATGGCCACGATCTCTTGGTGGTTCTTTTGTGCAACCTGAAATAAAGCAAGAGAAGGGATGAGAAACGGCTCACGGAGATCACCAATCAGCAGCCCCATACGGGCCGTTCTCAACTTATGACCATATCAGAGGTGGTTATTCAGTCGATTCTGACCAGTTTTGAAGAACCGGCCAATCCCACCTCTGACTGGAGATTTGACAGTACCCTTCCCCTGCCACGCCCACCAAGCCATGCCCACAGAACCAGTAGTAAAAATTTTTGAATCCTACCACTGGACCACATGATCCTTTCAGCAACCCAGAGACACCCCGACCTCGAGGCTCCCCCATGCCCTTCATTAGTGACTGTAACAGGAGGGCTGGAATCGCACGGCTGACTCACTTAAGGACAGTAACAATTTAACGATCGTAATTCTGGGCTGAATTCTGGTCACAAGTTGAGGACCACCCGTAGTGCATAACATACAGCGTAAAAAAAAAACCCGATTGCCCCTGCCACCACCTCCTCTGGGGCCTTCAAGGAGATCAATTTAGCCCAGTCTCCCTACCTTTGGCCACTTGAAAATACGTGCACTTCAACTCCCAGAATTCCCACACAGGTAGACCTCACTCAATGACCATTCATGCAGTGACCATTTGAATTATGAGTCGGCTGGGTGTGGAGGGGGGGCACGGAGGGCAAAGAAGTCAAACAGGCAACATTGGGGTGGAGAAGAGGTGGGGAGGAAGTTGAGGTGGAGGTGAGCGTGGCAGGACAGAAAGTTCATGAGGTCCTTGTCGTAACGACAGCACAGATATGTGTGCCAGCCGTGTGCGGCAGCAGCCCAAAAAGCTAATACAATCCTTGGTTGCATAAACAGAGGCATAAAATCAAAATCAGGTGAAGTATTAGTACCGCTTTATAAAGCCCTAGTAAGACCACGCCTGGGATGCAATTAATTTTGGTCCCCATATTACAAAACAGATGTTGAGACTTTGGAAAAAACGCAGAGAAGAGCAACTAAGAGGATTAAAGGCCTGGAGACTAAAACATATGAACAATGGTTGCAGGAAATGGGTATAGCCAGTCTAGAGAAAGGAAGGACTAGGGGAGACATGATAGCGGTATTCCAGTATTTGAGGGACTTTTATAAAGAAGTGGGGTCAAATTATTCTCCAAAGCCCCAGAGGACAAGAAATAATGGTTTGAAACTAACCAAAGAGAAAAGCAACCCGGAATTAAGGAGAAATTTCCTAGCAGTGAAGACAATTAACCAGTGGAACAGAAGTTGCCTCCAGAAGTTGTGGGTGCTTCATCACTGGAGGCTTTCAAGAAGCGACTTGTCTGAAAGGAGCTGGACTAAAAGACCTCAGAAGGTCCATTCCGTTCCATTCCATTTATTCTTCTTCTTATTTTCTAATTTTTATCCTATTTTACTTTGGAAAAAGCGCAAAGAAGAGTAATTAAGATATTATAATCAAAAAAATTCTGGAATGTGCAGAGATGGATAGGTTAACCCTAAAAATTAAAGGAGAAGGAGATTCAGACTATTCCATAACATGGGAACTATTCTATAAATGGCTAAATGACAGATATTGAGGTTAGAGGAGTGGAATTAGGAGAAATATGGTTTATAGGAGAAAGACAGACAGAGGAGTAAATATTTCTGACGGTTATATAATCGATACTATAATGGAAGATAATATATGTTATAATATGATTGATGTTATCGCATATTTGTTTATGTACCAGTATATGTATGTATGTATGTATGTGTATGTGTATGTATATGCAGGTCTTAGCGTGTTCAGGTTTTTTCCCGTGTAAGATTGAGAGTATCTTGGCAACGTTTCGATGAGGTCCCACTCGCCATCTTCAGGCTGGTGCTTTCGGCCTGCTTACAACAGAACCAGCACACCACACCTCCCCACCATTATATATAGGGAGACGGCAGCTCTGATCACGGTTTACTCGCACAAGCACGAAGCCGAAAGCACCAGCCTGAGGATGGCGAGTGGGACCTCATCGAAACATTGCCAAGATACTCTCAATATTACATGGGAAAAGACCTGAACACGCCAAGACCTGCATACCTGTACCCATGAAAATCTACAAAAACATATGTATAAATATAAATAATATAAATATAAATAATATAAATATATAAATATATTTATGTTTAATATGTTTATAAATATGTTTGTATGTACCTTGGACACCTAGAGAGCACACTGCTCAACATGGGAAGGAAATGTATGATATAAAACAATAAAAATATTTTTAAAAAAGACTAAAACATATGAACAACGGTTGCAGGAATTGGATATGGCCACCTAGAGAAAAAAAGATTAAGGGTTGACATGATAGCAGTCTTCCAAGTATTTGAGGGGCTGCCCCAAAGAAGAGGGGAGGGTCAATTTATTCTTCAAAGCACTAGACAAGAAACAATGGATGGAAACAGATCAAGGAGAGAAGCAACCTGGAATTAAGGAGAAACTTCCTCACAGTGATTCCTGACTTTTTTGGCTGCAAAAATCTTGGTAGGGATCGCCAGGACCAACTTGTCGGCATATTACAAATGGCAGCCCTCGAATCGTTTCATGTCGTGAGTGTCACACGCTTACTCCAAGTCCTGCGTGACTCACCTCGTTCTGCAGGATGAGCCGGGTGCGTTCGCTCCGTAAGTTGAGGATTTCACTCGAGAGCTTCTCCGTTTCCTTCAGCAACTTCTTGATCTAAGGGAAAACCAAAGCAGACAGTATGGGCAGCCCTTGGCTTACAACCTCCAATGGGAACCCAACATTTCTCTTGTTAAGAGAGACAGTCATTCGTTGAGTTTACAACTGTTCCCACCAGGGTCATGAAGTGAAGTGCTGCAGGAACCCGGTTGTCAAATGAATCCAGCTTCCCTGTTGACTTTGCTAGTCGGAAGGGTCGTAAAAGGGGATCACGTGACCCCCGGGATATTGCAACTGTCATAAATACGAGTCAGTTGCCAAATGCCTAAATTTTGATCATGTGACTGTTGGGGATGCCACAAAGGCCGTAAGCATGAAAAACAGTCATAAGTCACTTATTTCAATGCCGTTGTAAGTTTGAACAGTCACTAAATGAATGTGTCAACTCATAAAATATTTCTATGGTCTTTTTAGAGTTGCCAGCAGAAAAGGAAGGATGGAAAAGGGGTTTGAAAGAGTAATACGGCAGTTTGGAAATTGAAAGTGCATTCCATAAATGTTTTCAAAGATAGTAACTAGGTGACTGAAATTTCTGCCGCACAAAATTCTATCTGGAGAGCATGATTGATGACTCTGGGCTATGGAGGTGTCCCATTGGAGAATATGAATTAGGATACACCCAGGGGTGGGGGAAAACCAGGGTCAAGGGTGACAAGGAATGATGTGTCTGAGAGTCAGCTACACCCAGGCAGTGCCAACATGTTAACTCCCAATAAATCCTTTTGAATTTTTGGAAGTTTGGCTCTTGACTCATGATTTAATTGGGGGTAACTGCCAGAATCCTGACAGAATGGTTGTAATGTAACTTATAACCAGTCCTCACACTTATGACCATTGCAGCTCTCATGATCACATGATCAAAATTTCAGATGCTTGGCAAATGGCCTGTATTTTTGATGGTTGTAGCATCCCAGAGGTCATGGGATCTGCGACCTTCCCAGATCACTTCCAGCAAGCATCCTCCATGGAGGAAGCTGGATTCGCGGAACTTCAAGACAAAGTTGGCTCAAACTGGGGAGAAGGCAGAGCCACGTCGCTGCGATACAGCTGCAATCTCGGGGCTCCGAGATTGCAGCTGATATCTTCGCCCCTGGTCGGTCCTAACAGACCTAAACCATCCCGTAGAGACGGTGATAGTAAGGGGTGCGTTCTGCTGATCCCAGGGACATCACAAAGTCCCTGGTTGATCCAGAAGAAGCCCTTTTACCATCGGCGGAGAGGCAGCCATTAAGCTGCTGAAGCTGTCACAGCTCTGGAAGGAAGAGACAGAAAGAGAAAGTGTATCGGCTGGTGAGAATTTTCTTTTTTATTTTATTTTATTTGGGACTTAAGGACACTCTAAAATGAGAAGAATCCTGTAAGACTTTGGACAAAAACTGATAAAATTGACTTAGCTGTGATTTTTTAAAGAGAATGTCAAACTGAGGCTTGGCTTTTTACTTTTACTTTTGTTTTCACTGAACTTCTATTGCGATCTAGCAATTCTAACTAGACTGGTTTTTTCTCTTATATTTATCTATTTTTTTTCTCCCTTTTGACTGTTAATAGTTTTTTTTAGAACAGAGGCTCCCTTTAGTAATTTTTTTTCCTTAAATATATATATATATATATACATGTATATTTCCTTTTTTTTATTAGGCTTTTTCTGGGAAAGAAGGGGGAGTGGATTAAAGAAACTTTGTAACACTGCCAACTAGAGGCTTGAAAATACTTTATTGGAAATTGAGAGGACTGTGAAAAAATCCTTTCTCAAGGACACTGGAACTTGGTAAGATAGAGGGAAGAACACTGGAGAATGTTTTAACAGGTGTTCTTTGGAACTTCTATTATACTTGAAGCTTGGCTTTGGAATTTGTGGAGAAGCCATAATAAGAGCCTTGGATAACTAAATAAGACGCAGTGTGCTTTCTTTTTTACCTTCTTTTAGCTGTTTCATCCCTCCTCTTCAATCCCACAGTATCTTGTAATATTTGTATATCTATTTTTTTTTCTTGTTTGACTTTATATTTTATTTTTATTTTTCCTCTTAAAGGGAAAGCCTCAGAATACTTTTCTTTTTTCTTTTTGCGTACTGGGATTTTTGCTTTTTTTATTTTCATTTCCTATTTACTTCTATGGCTACTTTTCTTATTTTTTGAGACCTCTTAATTGGATTAAGGTGTGAAGAACCTGAAGAATTCTTTTTTTTTCCTTCGTCTTTTTCTATTATTGCTTTTGAATATTATTGGGTTTTGCTCTCTTTTTCTTTTTTTTATTATTATTCTTAATTTTTATTTTTGAATTATAATTGACTATCCCACAATAGGATTAAGGTTTAGAAGAACCTGAAGAATTTCCTCCTTTTTCTTTTTAATCTTCTTTTTCTCCTTTCCTTTTTAAATCTGGACTCTATTTTCTATTGGCTTTTTTTATGTTTTTCTTCTTCCCAATTGGATTATAATTGGCTATCTTATTAATTGGATTAAAGGAGCTTAAAGATCCTGAGTTATCTAAATGACTAAGAAAACTTTACCTTCTGGCAGTTCAACTTCTGCTCCTGCTTCTCCATCAACTGGAGGACGACTATCAATAATGGCGAAGCAAGATAAAGTACAAATGGACCTAGCGACGATTATACAAGGAATACATGAACTTAAAATGAGTATTGACCAAGGAACAGAGAGTATTGAACAAAGAATTGCGAAGACTGATGAAAAAATTGAAAATTTTCAACAAATGATGGCGAAATATGAGAGACTCCAAAAAATTGAAGAGAAAGACAAACAAAGAGATGGGACAATTGGAAATATCGTTAGCAAATTAACAATGGTTGAACAAGACAAAACTGGGATGTTGAAGTGGGGGGTGGATAGGTCAGAATTTTATCTCAGATTTCAAAATATAGAGGAAGAAAAAGGACAAGATTTGGCGGCTGTAATGATAGAAATCTTGGCTGGAGCTTTGGGGATAACAGAGGAAAAGATGATGGATGGAGTAGATGAGATATATATCACAAGATATGCGATGAGGAATAAGCTACCAAGAGAGGTCCATGTCAGATTTACTAAAAAGATTATTAAAACACAAATACTACAAGTGGCAAGAGATAAGGCGTTGAAATATAAAAACAAAGAGATTGTGGTTTTAAAACAAGTGCCCAGAAGAGTGAGAGAGATGAGAAGAGAATATCGATTCTTGACCAAAAAGTTATTGGAAAAAGAGGTGAATTATAGATGGTTGATCCCAGAAGGATTAATGTTCATATGGCAAGAACAGAGATACAGAATCGACTCAATTGAGAAAGCAGAAACATTCTACAATGAATTTTTTGGAAGAAGAGAAATAGAGACAGAAAAAGAGATTATCTTGACTGAACCCCAAGAAGACCAAATGGGAGTGGGAAAAGAAGAAGGTGCAATACGTGGACAAATGGAGACCAAAGAACAACGTGAAGTAAGATCTACGAGAGCTGTTAGACCTAAATACAAAACATAACCATGGAGGGAAAAAAATTGATTTCTATGAATATAAATGGACTGAACTCAGCTATCAAAAGAAGAAAAACCTTTCATAAATTAGAGAAGTTAAAATTTGATATAATTTGCCTACAATTTACATATTAAAATTTATATATTACAAATTAAAAAACAACATCAACGATTATTGGTATGACCAAAACTGGGGGAAATTTTTACTTCCTTGACCAACTGTAAGAAAAGAGGAGTGGTCTTGTACATTGAAGAAACTATTGCAGCAAAATTGATTTATACTGATGAAGACGGAAGAGTATTAATGGTTGAAATAATGGATAACAATACAAAAACACTCGTGGTTGCAATTTATGTCCCGAATGATAAGCAAGAAGAATTTTATAAAAAGTTACATATGAAAACAATTGGACTGGACTATATCAATATAGTTATGATGGGAGATTTCAATGGAATTGTAGATAATAAATTGGACTATACAGCGACAGCATCTAAACAAAACAGAAAGACTCTCCCTAAATCCTTTTTTTTAAATGATAGATGAATTAAATCTAAAAGATATATGGAGAGAAAGAAATGGTAAAACTCAACAATATACTTTTTATTCAAATAGACATTTATCATGGTCCAGAATAGATATGATTTGGACTTCATCAGAATTAATATCTAATATTCAAGAAATAAATATTGAAACAAGTATATGGGCAGACCATAATCCAATGACAATTAAATGGAAAGGACAAAAAAGAAGATCTAGATGGACATTAAACAATACTATTTTAAAGGAAAAAGATTTCACACAATGGATGGGCAAAGAATTGGCTTTCTTTTTCAGTGAAAATAAAAAAGAAGATACTTCAATGCAGAATGTTTGGGATACAATGAAGGCATATGCGAGAGGATTAATAATGGACTATACAAAGAGAAAGAATATTAGGAAGAGACAAACTATTAAAGCTTTAGAAGATGATTATAAAAAATTGGAAAAAGAATTGCAGAATATGCCACAGAAAAAAGATATTAAATTTAAAATGGATATAATTAAACATAAGATGGGTCAAGTAGAGAAAGAAGAACTGGCACAAAAAATTAGAAGTGTTAAACAGAACTATTTTGAAGATGCAAATAAGCCAGGTAGATGGCTAGCATACAAATTGAGAAAGGAGAAAGAATCTAGGAAAATATTACAGCTAATAGATGACCAAGGTCAAATGTGTTATGGTAATAAGGAGAAAAAGGTAATTATTCGAGACTTTTATGGACAATTATATAAACAGGAGGATTTTGATGAGGAAAGAATTAAACTTTATTTACAAAATGCTAACCTACCTAAGATATCTGAAGAGACTGAAAAAAATGTTAGAAAGCACTATAACAATGATGGAACTAACTGAAGCATTCAGTAGGCAGAATAATGGAAAAGCACCAGGCCCAGATGGGCTCCCGGCAGAATTTTATAAAACACTACAAGAATCGTTGAGCACTCCACTGTTAGAAGTCATGAATGAAGTTATGTTAAATAAGAAAATACCTAAAATATGGTCAGAAGCTTATATTACACTTATTCCAAAAGAAGGGGCCGATCCATTACAAATTAAGAACTATAGACCTATTTCTTTACTGAATGCAGACTATAAAATTTTTGCTCCAATCTTGGCAGAAAGGCTCAAAAATACTTAAATAACTTTATTCATCCTGATCAGAATGGATTCCTACCAAAGAGACAAATTAGAGATAATATGAGGGTAATTCTGGACACTTTGAAATATTATGAGGCACATCCTGAAAAACAAATGGCTTTGATTATTTTAGATGCCCAAAAGGCATTTGATAATGTGAATTGGAGATTCATGTTTTTGTTATGGGAACAGATGGGGTTTGCTAGAAAATTTATTCAAGCAATAGAAGCCATATATGATAAGCAAACGGCAAAAGTAATGATAGAGGGAGAATTTACAGACTCTATTAATATAAGAAAAGGCACAAGACAAGGATGCCCATTATCACCTTTGTTATTTCTATTGACTTTGGAGGTGCTGAATAGAAATATTAGAGAGGATCCAAATATAAAAGGAATGAAAGTTAAGAAGGAGGAATTTAAACTGCAAGCCTTTGCGAATGATTTGGTTTTTATTTTGGAAGATCCTCTAGAAACAGTTTTAAAACTATTGGAAAAGATAGAGATGTATGGTGAGATGGCTGGTTTGAAAATAAATAAAGATAAAACAAAGATTTTGACAAAGAATATGCTACTAAAACAAAGAGATGAATTGGCAGACTTATTGAAAATTCAAGTTATGAATAAGGTTAAATATTTGGGGATACATTTGACGTCAAGATGTACCACATTGAAAGAGAATAACTATAAACTGTTGTTTAAACTTAAACAACAGATAGCATCTGATTTGAAGAAATGGGAAAACCTACAATTGTCATTGATAGGTAGAATTTCAACAATCAAGATGAATATTTTACCCAGAATTTTATATTTGTTTCAAACCATACCAATTAGGCTTGGTAAAGACTACTTTGAAGAATTAAATAAAATTGTGTTGAAGCAAGGTAAGAAAGCGAGAATAAAATTAAAACTTCTACAAGATGCTAGAATTAGAGGAGGATTTGGCCTTCTGAACTGGGAGTTGTACTATCAAGCTGCAAATTTAATGTGGGTTAAAGAATGGATAACATTAAGAAAGACTAGATTGTTGACATTAGAAGGACATGATTTATTACTGGGATGGCATGCTTTTCTGTGGTAAATAAGGGAACTAAATCGCAGGGCTATTTTAGAAGGCACTATATAAGGGAGTCTTTATGGTTGAATTGGGAGAAAATTAAGAGAAAATGTTATTTGAAAATCCCAGTCTGGTTATCAACTATTGAAGCTTTTTCTTAATATATGAGAAGGAACAAACAGTTAGATATGGGGAAATATTGGATGAAAAGAGTGAACTTAAAACAATGCAGAAACTAGAAGAACAAGGCATAAGGATGAATTGGTTCTCATATGCGCAAATACATTCAAGGTATCTTATAGATTCTAAAATTGAGGGATTTTATGATAAATTGACTGATTTAGATAGGATTTTGTAGTGGGTGCTTCATCACTGGAGGGTTTTAAAAAAGAGACTGGATGACCATTTGGCATAGGGTCTCCTGTTTGTACAGGGGGTTGGACTAGAAGACCTCCAAGGTCCCTTCCAACTCTGAGATTCTGTTAAAAGTCGCCTCTTTCCCTCCCCGCTCCCCTTTGGGTCTGTTGTAGTTAGCCGGCAGCAGGTGTGGACAGCTGAGGAGAGTGAGGATTCAGATGAGGGGCCAGGACCATTAGGGAGTGGACTGCTGCCTTCAGAGATTGTGGGGGCTGGCAGCAGTGATGAGGAGGTTCCCAAGGAGCCTGTGCTATGTCCATGTGAGCGCAGGATTGCTCAGAGGAAAGCAGTTACAAAAGCACGGGCGACTCGGGAGTAAGGCTGCCCCTCCCTCAAGAAGATAAAAGCCTGCTGTGAAACTAACCTTCTTTGCAGAAGGCAAAGATGTTTTGAAACTCCAGCCTCGTGGATATTCCAGTATCCTGAGTTTGTATTTGAAGATTCTTGTATTGTAAATTATTTCTTGTCTGTTATCTTTTGGCAAGTCTCACACAGTTTGGCAAGGCCTTATCACAGCTAATTATTTTGTAAAAGCATTACAAAGTTTCTGTTCCTTTTGGATTGTGTTTGATTTGTTGGAAAAGGGCGTGGGTCAGAACAGGGTCTTACCTTGGCGTCTCTTTCCTGGCACATCCTAGCGATGTCATCCACCTTCTTATTCAGCTTGTCCACCGTGCTCTCCAACTTCTGGGACTTCCCTCTCAGCTCGTCCACTTCCTCCTCATGCTCCAGCGCTTCAGCCATCAGTTCTTGAGTCTTCTGCAGTTGGCAGTCCAGGGCTTCCTTGTGGCGGGCAGAGGCTCTGGCAGCTTCCTCATATTTTTCCTGGAGGGCCGCCAGCTCCTCTCCTAGGACCTGAGCCCTGGTGGACAGCATGCTACAGATCTTCTCGTACTTGCTGAGGACTTGGTCTTCTTCCTGGCACAGGTCAGCCATCTTGGCAAGGACTTTGTCCAGGAGTTGCATGACACTGGCTACCTTGAGCCCCTCAGGAGTTCCCTGGGATGCAACCAGCAACTGCTTCACCTCCTGCAAGCCTTTCTCCAGTTCTGCCATCTGCTCCCTGACTCTCCAGTTCTCTCCGATGACCTCAGAGGTCTCCATGAAGATCTCTTGGCCGGTTTTGTCACCATCGGGGCTCCTGGGATCCAGTGGGAAGGTTCGGTCAACCTCCAAGGCACGGTTCTCCTCTTCCATCTCAGAGACCAGCTGCAGGGCCTCGTTCTGCTTCCTCACCACGTTGTCCAGCTTCCAGTGGAGCTCCTTCAAGATGCAGCTGTCCAGGTTGTCGCCGACGAGGCCACCGGCCTCATGGCTCACCTTCTTGAGGAAGTTGTTCCTCACAAACACCACCTCCTTCCTCTGCTCCTCCAGCTTCAGGCGCAACTTGCCCGACACCTCCTTCTCTAGCGCCAGCTCACAGGACAAGGCCTCTATCGTCCGCCTCAGCTCTTCCACCAGGCGCTCGGTCTTCTCCACCCGAGGGGAGCCCTCTGCTGAGCTATGTAACTTCTGGAGTTCTCCCTGAAGCTTCTCTCTTTCCCGGCTCAGCTGGGCCAACTCGTGCACCAGGCCACCATTGCTCTGCTTGAGGTCCCACACTTCCTTCTCCAGATCAGAGCTTCTTCGGCACGGACGGGCCTTGTTTTCCACCCCCTCAGGTTTTGGCCTCAGTTTCACCTGCCCCGCGAGGCCATTCTGGGGCGGGGTCTTTTCTACCCTGCTTTTCTGCAGCTCCTTAAGGGTTTCTAAGCAGACCGGCTCGTGGCCAGAACCATTCTTTTCCTCTTCAGGAAAACCGTTGCCGTTGACCAAGGTTTTGGAAGGAGGCTCCAAAATGGCTTCTTGGAGGGGCCGGGCTTTGTCCAGGAGAGACAAACAGGCCTGTTCCAGCTTAGCCAGAGCTCCTTCCAGGCCGGTGACCACCTTCTTCCAGGCCGCGACACATTTCTTGACCGCGCCAGATGGCACTGCTTGGAACTGCAGCCTGCTACGGACAGCATCCTCGGCTTCCTTCTTCAGGTCCTCGTTTTCGGCCAACATGGCCTCCATCTCCTTCTGGGCCTTGAACTGGGTCTCCTCCATCTCCTTAATGCACTGTGCCACCTTTGCCTGGGCAAGCCTGCTCTCGGGAGGACCGGCCAGGTGTTTCCCCAGGAGCCCCCGCAGCTTTTGGTTCTCATCGCCCAACTGCTGCGTCCGGGCCTCCATCTCCTTAAGAGCCGCATTCTGCGACTTCTTCTTGGCTTCGAAGACCCCGATGACGGCCCTCATGTTCTCCATGTGCCCCTCCATCTCCTCTACCCTCCTGACCGCGGTGGCCTTCTCCTCCAGGGCAGCCTCCAGCTGGCTCTGCAGGCACTTCAGTTCCTCAGCTTCTTCCTCACCGGGCCACTGGACCGTCACGGGCTGGAGCTTGGTGGGACTGGTCCCTCCTTGCGTTGAAGCTTTGGGCAGCTCCTTCTCTGCATCCTGCTGCTTCTTCCTCTCCTTCAGCTCTCGGACCTGCTGGGCCAGAAGGTCCAGGCAGTGGTCCCCATCTGTGGGATCATGGCTGAGGCGCTGGCTCAGCTGCCGCCAGTCGCGGACACGGCCCTCCCGGTCTGGCAGGAGCTGGCCGATCTCCTGTACCTGGTCCCAGACCTTTTCCTTCAAGAGCTGGCAGCCCTTGGAGAAGACCTGGCAGTCTTTGGCTTTTTGGTCCAGTTGCAGTTCCAGCTGGATGACTTTCATCTTTTCCTCCCGGAACCTGCTCCGCCATTCCCGTAACTCAGGGCCTTCCTCCGCCTCTTCTTCATTGTCACTCTGGTCGCCCGCCTCGCTCTGTAAGACCAGACTACTCACATCAGTGTCTTTCCCGCTCTCCGAGGGCACCTGTGTGGAAAAAGGGACAGAAATTATACCATGGTCCTCGACTCAAGGGAGGTACTAATACTACTCTATGGCCACACCTAGAGTACTGCATCCAGTTTTGGTCACCACACTACAAAAAAAGATGTTGAAACTCTAGAAAAAGTGCAGAAAAGAGCAACCAGGATGAGGAGGGGATTGGAGGCTTAAACGTATGATGAACGGTTGCAGGAACTGGGCCTGGCTAGTCTAGGGAAGAGAAGGACCAGTGTAGACATGAGAGCAGTCTTCCAGTAGTGTTCCACCAAGCTTAACAGTAGTAACTTTGAGAGGGATCTTTTGAGGTTTAGTAGACAACCAGCTAAATATGAGCCAGCTGTGTGTGGCAACAGCCAAAAAACCCAACACAATCCCAAGTTGCATTAACAGAGGGATACAATCAAGATTAGGGAGGTACTTAATACCACTCTATAAAGCCTTCGTAAGACCACACCTAGAGTACTGCATCCAGTTTTGGTCACCACACTATAAAAATATGTTGAGACTCTAGAAAAAGTGCAGAGAAGAGCAACCAGGATGATGAGGGGACTTGGAGGCTAAATCATACGAAGAACGGTTGCAGGAACTGGGCCTGGCTAGTCTAGGGAAGAGAAGGGCCAGGGGAGACAGGAGAGCAGTCTTCCAATATTTGAGGGGCTGCCACAGAGAGGAGGAAGGGGTCAGGCTATTCTCCAAGGCCAGACAAGGAATAATGGATGGAAACTGATCAAGGAGAGATTCAACCCAGAAATAAGGAGAAATTTTCTGACAGTGAGAGCAATCAACCAGGGGAACAGAAGTTGCCTTCAGAAGTTGTGGGAGCTTCATCCCTGGAGAATTTCAAGAAGAGACTGGACTGCCATTTGTCAGAAATGGTGTGGGGTCTCCTGCTTGGGTGGGGGGTTGGACTAGATGACCTATAAGGTCCCTTCCAACTCTGTTAATCTGTTGCCATCATTCATTTAGCAACCATTCAAAGTTACGTAGCTGGAAAAAGTGGCTTAGGATCGGTCCTTACACTTATGACTACTGCAGCATCCTCATGGCGTCAGGATAACAATGTGGGTACTAGGCCACAGGCATGTGTTTTAATGCTCATCCTTTGCCACTTTCCTGACTCGTTTCTGCCAAGCAAAGTCAACGTAGGAAGCGAGGTTCACTTAATAACCTGATACATTTAACAACTGCAGTTGGCTTAACAACTACAGGTAGTCCTCGACTTACAACAGTCTTAGCGACTGTTTGAAGTTACAGCGGCACTGGGAAAAGAGACTTAGGACCATTTTTCACACTTATGACTGTTGAGGCATCCCCACGGCCACTGGACTTGCATTTGGAGGCTTGACAAGTGACTCATACTTATGACATCCCAGGGTCATGGGGGTCATGGGATTCTCTTTTGCAACCTTCTGACTAGCAAGGTCAATGGGAAAACCAGATTCTCTCTACAACCACGTGACTGAGTTAACAATGGCAATGATTCCCTTCACAACTGTGCCAAGGAAGGTCGTAAAATAGGGCAACATTCATTTGTCTCACTTAGCAATGAAATGTGGTCATAAGGATTAACTGTGTGGGGGTGCAAAGGTGTCATTCCCCTGTCAGAGTCTGAATCTGAGGAAGAAGATGAACAGCTGACAGGGAATGAGAATGTGGATCCCTTGGCTGTGGAGGAAACTGGGGAAGGGCAAAGTCTGGCTGGGCAGAGCAGGGGAGAGGTAGAACAAGGGAGAGGGAGTTCAAAGGAAGACCCAGGCCCACATCCTCTTCATCCTAGGGCACACAGGGAGGAACGGAGGAGGGAGCAATGTGGGTTGGGTGGCTTACGGAGGAGGAAAGGGCCCTGTTTCCCTTCATTAGCCACATCTGGGAAGAGAGTTTAAGAGATGCATGCTGTGTGCAGCAGCTGCTGGGAGCAAACATGAGTTTATCTTGTGCTGACTTTGCTTATCTGTGTTCCTGGCATCCTCTCAACCGTGTTGAGTTATTGCCGTGCCTTGATGTCTGGAACTCCTTCTCTTGCCCTGCTGGACTAATGACCTCATCTTGCCTTGATTGAACTTATAGTTACGGTTTTTGTTGACCACATTTTGGACTTGATTCTCTGCAGCCAAAGGCTGTTCCTGGGAGTTTTTTTCTCCAGCCAGAAGGTAACCAGACAATATTGGGGACAAATTTGGAGCTAATAAAGGGACTACTGCTGATTATCTGACTGTGTTGCCTTTGTGCCATGCCCCTTTGGGTCATCATACCAGGAGATGTTCGGAGTTCAACTCTCAGCCCCAATCAAGACTTTAAAAATGTCTCCTAAGTGGTTAAAAAAAATGAGGGAAAACTGGTTCTGCATACAGGTACGACTTACAACCACAACTGAGCTCAGATTTATGCTGCTAAGCGAGACATTTGTGAAGTGGCTTTTGGGCCCGTTTTACGACTTTTATTGCCACGTTATGTTAAGTGAATCACTGCAGTAAGTAAAAAAAGGAATACAAAGAAACTGCTGGTGCTAAAGAGCTATAAAAAAGCAACCACCTCTGGTTCTTTTGATTAAATGTGTTAATGGCCGCTCTTACCTGTGAACCAGTTTCTGACGAATCAAACAGTCCCAGTTCTGTGGAAACAAAAGCAACAAAAATTGAACCGGATGAAAGTATTTGCTGAGAATGTCAGGTCCTTTTACAGGGCTGGGTCATTGGGAGTGGGGGCTACTGTGCCTGATTTCTGGGGTTGGGGGGCTTTACTGCCCCTGTTAACTTCACATGGGGAGATAAAGACAGGATTGTATCCGCTGGTGGAAAAACACACAGATTTTCAGATAGATTGAGCGATAGACTGATAGATACAGTAGACCGATAGATTGATTAAGTAATAGATTGATAGATACAGTAGATTGAGAGATTGAGTGATAGATTGATAGATTGATTGATAGATAGACTGATAAAGTGATAGACTGATAGATATAACAGACTGATAGATTGATTAAGTAATAGATTGTTAGATACAGTAGATTGAGAGATTGAGTGATAGATTGATAAATTGATTGATAGATATTGATAGCTTCAACCTGAAAATAAGGAGAAGTTTTTGATAGTGAGAACAATCAACCAATGGAACAGAAGTTGCCTTCAGAAGTTGTGGGAGCTTCATCACTGGAGAATTTCAAGAAGAGATTGGACTTCCCTATGTCAGAAATGGTATAGGGTCTCCTACTTGGGCCAGGGGATTTGACTAGATGACCTACAAGGTCCCTTCCAGCTCTGTTAATTAATGAACAGATGTTAATCCTTACTAGTCCATACCAGCCATTGAGTGTGTTAGTGAGTTTGGAATTGGAACCCATTGAAATAGAAAAAGAAAAATGTTTATGGAGATTGCCCCAATTCTTCCTCACCGTATGCTTTATTTCCTCAAAAAAAAAAAAGTGCCACTCAGTTTCCAGGTTGGCACATATTTTGAGAGGGAATAAAGTGTATTTCTGGCACATACTTTTCCTGCCAGATTGACCACCAGAAGCGATTTTTCTGCCCAGCTTTCCATACCTCGTTTTTTCCATTTCTTCAAGGCAGTCTGGATCTGTCTCCGGAGAATCCGATTCTTGCTCCGCGTGGCATAGTACAGGGCATCATGGCCAGTCTTGTCCATCAAAGCCACGTTGGCACCGTTCTGCAGGAGAAGGTCGGCTGCCTCCACGCCCCCATTTTCGCAGGCAAGGATGAGAGCCGTCCTGGACAAAATGGGTAGAAACCGTGTAACAAATTAACAACAGAGTTGGCAGGGACCAACAGCCCCCAGGTCTGGAGGTGGATGATGAGGAAGAGGAGGAACAGCTGGGTTCAGTTCCTGACGCTGTTGTAGTTAGCTGGCAGCAGGTGTGGACAGCTGAGGAGAGTGAGGACTCAGATGAGGGGCCAGGACCAGTAGGGAGTGGACTGCTGCCTTCAGAGATTGTGGGGGCTGGCAGTAGTGATGAGGAGGTTCCCGAGGAGCCTGTGCCAAGTGCGCATACATGCAGGGTTGCTCGCATGAAAGAGCAGCTACAACAGCACGGGCGACTCGGGAGTAAGGCTGCAAGGTAATGGAAGATAAAAGCGAGCTGTGCAGCAGAGGTTCTTTGCAGAAGGCAAAGACGTTTTGAAACTCCAGTCTCATGGACATTCCAGTATCCTGAGTTTGGATTTGAAGATTCTTATTTTGCAAATTATTTCTTGTCTGTTATCTTTTGGCAACTCTTGCACAGTTTGGCAAGGCTTGTGCTTATCACAGCTAATTATTTTGCAGAAGCATTAAATGGTTTCTGTTCCCTTTGGATTGTGTTTGATTGTTGGAAAATGGTGTGGGTCAGAACAGATGCACCAAAGCGCAGAAGGCAGAAGAGAGAAGAGCGGCGGAAATCTATAGGCCGGTCCTTGGGACAGAAGAGCCACCGCTGCTAGCTAAGCCCCGCCCTAGCTCTGGGGATCAAAGGCAGGTGTGGTAGACAACTATTCATCTTCCGGGCAGACGGACTCTTAGCCTGTGGTGAGAGAGAAACTTTATGCCAGGGCTACTGGCACTCCCAATAAAGGAATTTTTGAGTTCATATCAGAGGTTTTGTTGTGTTTGGGGAGCTAGGTCAGAACACTTCTCTAGGCTGCTAAACCTTTTCCCTCTCCAGATTCCAGGTTGCTGGATTCTGTAGCCTGCCTCGCAGGGTGCGCGCCGCAAAGGAGGGACTCACTTGCCCTCCTTATCTGGGAGGTCAACCTTGGCGCCCCTCTGGAGCAGCTGTGAGCAGATGGCTGTCTGGTTCCCATAAGCCGCGATCATCAGGGGGGTTCGGCCATTCTGGAGCAAAAAGAAAAGCAAAAAAACTCAATTTTGGGCCTAAAGCAGGGAAAAAGAACGAGCAAATCAAGAATGAGCAGTGGCTGGTTCAGGAATCCTAGCTTACTTTTTCCAATTAGCAACTCCGTTGGAAGATCATTTTTAAAAGCAATTTATTAGAGTACTTTGATAAAGTAGGGGTCTCCCTCTATTGGAAAAATGGCTTCTCTTCCCTTTTTATAGGTAGCACAAAAAAAAGAAGTAAAAGTCGATTGGTTTAGAAACGGCCCAGTTCCATCCCTAAAATTGAAAATCCAATAATATGTGAGCAAAGCCATAGAAGAGAGCCTTGAATTCTGAATAAAAGGAAAAAAATGTGAAGGAAAAACACGACATGTGGATCATACTTAAATATTTTCTTGGCAAAGATGAGGAACATCAGAAAAAGTTATTGTCACTCATCTATATATATATAAAAAAGCAAAATACCCCTCACACATCATCACAAAATCTCCAGAACCGTTAAGCCTACAAAATTGAAAATTGGCATGTGAGTTCCTCTTGGCTTCTAGGTGCTCACTAAGAAAGGATTTTTTGAAATGACCATCAGAGCATTAGCATTTCCTATATTATTATTAACATGCTCTGATGCTAAGGAGTTCTACTCCCCCTCCCCACCTGAAAAGAAATCTCTTCCAAATGCAAAACACAAGCAGAGGAGTTTCAGTTTCATAGCAGCAAGCAGCTTTAGTGCAGAACAGTTGAGCTAAGCCACACCCAGGCTCCTTGCTGTCTCCTTCTTGCTCACACAGCAAATACATTTCAGTTTCCAAACAGCCCTCAATTCTCTCACACATTCACAGGATGCCAGCCAGATGAATACCGATGGATGCTGGTAGGCAGAGGCAGATTTTTTTTCTCCTTATTTTCCTCCCCCAAAACTAAGCCCGACCACATAGTTTTGTAGCAAAGTACGGGTATCGAGCTAGTAAAGTAATATTTATCACAGTAGAAAAAAAAATCCCAGCTCATAAAAAGTGCCTTCCACTAATCAAAAATAGTCGATAGGGGAAAAAACCCATCTTAACTACTAAGTTAGTAAATTACTTACCTTATCGGTGACATCAAGGAAAGCTTCTTGGTCGCAGAGAAGCAAGACACTTGAGGCACAACCAGATAAAGCTGTTGGTAGAATTAAAAAAGGGGTTTAAATGTTGAAAATCTCCAATTTTTACAATGTGTCCATAATAGAAAATGCAATTTTCATTTAATAGACTACTGTAAAAAAATATTGTAGCAAATTATACTAATCTCTGCTAAACATCATAAACCCTAAATTTGATTTAAAAATAAAAAAATAGGAATGTATCTTTAACAAAACACACTCTTACTCAAAAGTAAGTCTTTGTGAGAAGGTAGGACTGAAACTGCTAGGATAATTATCCTTAATTTCACCCTCCAACTTCAAGAAGCTTCAACTATCATTCATGGAATTTTACATGAGATGGGAGTTAGTGAACTTTATTTATTAAATTTATATGCCACTCATCTAGCTTGTCTTCTATTTGTAACCCTTCCCTCCTGCTTTTTCCATTTTCCTTCTCAACTGACTGTTCCAGCGCTATTTTAATTTATTTAGCATATGGCATCTACAGAGGTCATACAATCACTAATACACAAATGTAGTTTGTATATGTCTTCAATGTATGGTTTTTCTTAATTTATGGTTTTATCTTAATTTAATATATGATTTTATCTTAATTTAACATTTTATTTCCTATATTGTATTGTTCACTAAATAGATGATAGATGACAGATATCTAGGTAAAGCTAGATGACAGATAGAAGATAGAGGACAAATAGAAGGTAGATAAGATCGATGATAAAAGATAGATGAAATAGATGATAGAAGGTTGATAGAAGATCAATAGTAGATAATACTATATATCTATCTTCTATCAATCATCTATCTTCCATCAATCATAGATAATAAAAGATAGATGAGATAGATAAAGATAAATGATTGATAGGAGACAGATAAGCTAGATGGTAGAAGATAGATGACATCGAAAAATAGAGGATTAATAGAAGATAGATGACTGATAGAAGATAGAAAGATAAAATATAAAACTAAGATAAAATCATTCTAAAATCATCATAACACGGAGCCATAAAATTACAATTAGTTCTCCCTGCACAACTAGTTCACAAGGAAAACTCAGAACAGCTGTACAGGTTTGGTACAAAACTTTCTGCTACCAAATTGTAATTTTAATATCATCATAAGCGGAGCAATTAAATAACTGGGGAATAATTTATCTCCCATGTTTAACTAATTGAATATATGTGGTTGATGATTAAATGTAAATCAAATTCAGAATTTGTCCAGGTTTACATTTTCTCACCCTTGTCTAATGTCTGTGTCTCCTCAGATGCGCCAGTAAGCATTTGATTAAAAAAAAAAAGTTTTGCAACCCTGAGCTAATATGGTTTGCTTGTTCAGCAGAAGAATGAGTCAGCTCAGCCATGGTGGTTTGTGACTACAGTTTTAAAAGAAACTATAATTAAACAAACCATAGCTTAGTGCAATGTGGGAAACCATAAATAGGGTTAAAAAAACTGGCTGGACTCCACAAGTTTGAAGGCATAGGAAAAAAATAACCACAATACACAAACAATAATGACTAAATACTGTAAATAAATAGTTCTAAAATACTGTAAATAGTCCATTGTAAATTCTCTTTCAAATTCTGCTGACAAGTGATTAAAGATGCAAGTGATGTAATTTAACATCTGCATTTAACTTAAAAACCAAGCATGAAATTATAGGGAGGCAATTAAGATTTATGATGGAAGCTCAAAGTTGCATCAGTGTGTGTATATCTATGTGTGTGTGTGTGTTTCTTACCTTACCTTCTCTTACCTTTTCAAACAGGTGAGCACCAATTGCTTAGCTGCAAAGTTTTGCAGACATGTTGGCAAAGGCCTCTCACAGAATATATAGCTCTCTTTGCAAATTCCATGGGAGGCCTTTGCCAGTATGTCTGCAAAACTTTATATCTAAACAATTGGTGCTCACCTGTTTGAAAAGGTAAGAGAAGCTCGGTTTACCTGTTGTCTTTGTTATGGAAGATGTGAATGCAGAGAGCTGACCAGCCTCCCTCAACAGGTGATGGATCTGTTGCAGGCCACACACACCCTCTAAACACACCAGGGCTTGTTCCAGCCTGTCCCGATGCTGCTTTTAAAAATCCAAATCATTTTCTGGACTGATTTTATAGGATGATTTTATGGGCCAATCAGAGCTCTAGATTACTATCCGTTGTATTTGCAGGATGAGATACTCGTTTCCCTTGGAGGGTCACAGCTGGAGGAAAGGGGTGGCCACTTGTCTAAAAGTGGGGTAATAACTGTAGCCTTGGAGTTCCCAACCACACAACTTGATGTTGAGAAACTGACTAGATCATGTTCCCTGATAAAATACAATTGTGAAATTGATGAGAGAACCAAGCCTTCTCAGGGGAAGATAACTCAGAGGCTGCAACCCTCAGAGGTTGTGGGAGCTTCATCCCTGGAAGCTTTCAAAAAGAGACTGGACTGCCATCTGTCAGAAATGATGTGTAGGGTCTCCTGCTTGGGCGAGGGAGGGGTTGGAGATGACCTATAAGGTCCCTTCCAACTCTGTTAATGTAAATATGTGAATCTCATCAAGAAGCAGAGCCCAGATGGTGTTGGAAGCAAGGAAGGATCCGATTTAGTTAGGGCTTGGATGGGATGGGAGACCACCTGGGAATCCCAAAGCTAGGAGCTCAAATAACAATTCAAACAACACCCACAAAGAATAACAGAGTTGGAAGGGACCTTGGAGGTCTTCTAGTCCAACCCCCTGCTCAAGCAGAAGACCCTATGTTGTACCAGAGTGGCTATCCATCCTCTTCTTAAAAGCCTCCAGTGATGAAGCACCCACAACCTCTGGAGCCAAGCTGTTCCACTGAGCAGCCACAACAGATTAAGAGTTCGAAGGTGTCATATTCGCCGATCGCCAGAAGGAGACGCGAGACTCAGTGACTCTTTTAAAAAGCTCTTTATTTAGTTCTGAGATCGGCTCGGCTCTCCCTTGGATCGGTGGCGGCTTATATTGAACTTGCCTAGCCAGCCGCGGCCAATGACACCGCTTTGAATCCCCCGCGATCGGTTTCCTCCAATCGCGGGCGATTCAAAACGGGCCAATCGCTGCAGCTCACTCAGCCAATCCGAGCGCTGTGCGTTCTGGCCAACCAGGACAAGGGGTTACAAGAATGCTAATGTAGCAATACAGAACACCCCTCCCCTCTTGGTATGGTCCTATGTAACATAGTCCCGTAAGTAGGCGGGGCTCCGTATCTGTCTACTGGACCTGCGCAGGTTAGTTGGTGCCTGGTCTTCGAGCTGTTCGGTCAGGTTCTGTATTGCTCCCTGCCTCATTGATGGAACCGCCTGGAAGGGTGAGCCGGGCCTTTTGCCGTAGCTCCCTCCCAGTCTACTTGGGCTGGTCGAGCTGCTGGCTCCGCTGTTCTTGCTCGGTCTTTCCGGGCTGGATGAGCTGGCTTGGCTGCTCCTTCCAGGTGAGGCTTCGGGCTGGTCGCTTCCCAGTGCTTTGGCTGGTGAGTATTCTTGGTTTCTTTCCTGTTGGGGTTGCCTGTTTTGATTTTCGGGGTTTGCCATCCCTTCTTGGCTGGTGTTTGGTTGCTCCCCCTCGCCTCCTGGATTTTTGTTTGCTTGTGTCTGCGTGTCGGTTGTGTTTCTCATGGAGATTCTCAATCTTAGTTGATTGATGTGTCGCTGCCATGCTCATCGATCGCTTGTTTGTAGCCGGTACGAGCGGGGACCTGTTACCTGGGTTATCATTGCTGGTGCCCAGAGTGGGTCCCCTCTGAGGTTTTTAGCATATACTGCGTCTCCTGGTGTGCATGTTCGATGCTTGCTCGATGAGTTGGGGGGTCTTTCGGGGTTTGTATGTGGGGTGCAGCCTGTCTAGTGGGGATCTTAATTTCCTCCCCATTAATAGTTCTGCTGGGCTTTTGTTAGTTGATGTGTTGGGAGTTATATGTTGGATGAATAGCATTTTATTTATTTTTTCTTGCATCTCTCCAGTTTCAATTTTTTGGATTGTTTTTTTGGTGAATTGAACCATTCGTTCCGCCCTCCCGTTCGCCGCAAGATGTGAAGCCGCTGTCAGAGTGTGCCATATTCCTCGCTCCGCTAGGAATTTTTTGAATCCCAATGCGGTGAACTGTGGCCCATTATCCGATACGATTACATCTGGGAGACCGTGGGTTGAGAATAGTTTGTTGAGTTCTCTGATGACGGCCTCTGTGGTGGTAGTTCTCATGTCGCTTACCTCCAACCAGTTGGAGTAGGCGTCTACCATTATAAGGAACGTGTGCACCTTTGTGGGTCCCGTGAAATCTATGTGTATCCTGGACCATGACCCTCTAGGGGTTTTCCATTCCAGGATTGGGGTGGCGGGAGGGCTCGGCCTGGATTCTTGGCATTGTCTACAGATTGCCACCCAGGCTTCGATTTGCTTGTCCATCCCTGGCCACCAAGCATAACTTCTGGCCAGGGCTTTTGTCCTAACGATGCCCGGGTGCCCCTCATGTAGTAATTCCAATACACTTTTTTGTAGCTTTTCCGGGATAACAACCCTGTCCCCCCATAGCAAACAACCTTTTTGAGTAAAAAGTTCTTTTTGTCGGTTTCGGAAAGTCCTAAATTGTTCGTCGTCGTCTTTTTCCGGCCACCCTTTCTCTGCCCAATTTAAAACCCACGCCAGACGTTTGTCTTTATTGGTTTCGCGGGCAATGTCTGATGCGGTTAGGGGGAGGTTGGGTAAGGTCTCTATGCTCAGGGTGGACGTTGTGGGTGCTGGGTCGGCGTCCAGGTCAGGTAGCGGAGTGCGGCTCAAAGTGTCTGCGTGTGTGATTGTCTTGCTGGGTCGATGGATCAGCAGGTAGCTGTAAGCAGCAAGGAACTCGGACCACCTTGTCATTCTCGGAGATAGTCTGTTCGGGGTGGCCTTGTCCCCTGCCAAGATGCCCAACAGTGGTTTGTGGTTGGTGATGATGGTGAATGTTCTGCCGTAGAGGTACTCGTGGAACCTCTTCACAACGGCGATGATTGCAAGGGCTTCCTTGTCTAGC